TTTTTTTTTTTTTTTTTTTTTTTTTTTTTTTTTTTTTATCTATCCAAAGCTACTTGAGAAGCCAGAAGAAGCATTTGGAGATGACAAAATCAGAATGGTTTGGGTTGGACAGGACCTCTAAAGATGTCCTCATGGGCCAGGAGAAGTCCACGGCCCTCTCGTTTATGGCCACCCCCAGCGGAGGTGACGCCGAGCCTGCAGCAAAGGTGTCAAAGCTCATTTTGCGTTGGATTTCCGTGCGCCGGGGAGGAAAAGACGGTGGCAAAGGCACCACCGTGCTGGTTGCACCTCCGGGAGGGCTGTTGGGTGAGTTTCTCACCCATCTTTTGACAAGGAGACTCATGAATGCAAAGGGGAACAAAATAATAATTAATAATAATAATAATAAATAAATGGGTTGCAACATCAGCAGGGGTCAAAGCCACCGGGCAGCGGTTTTGCTCTTACCTTTAGTGTCATTCACCGGATCCATGTGCCTGTAAATATATCCTTCTAGGTAGGAATGAAATTTGGGAGTGGGTGGGAAAAAGGCCAAACAAATGGCCATGAGCTCCCAGCCCCGGGCCAGGCTCTCGTAACGGAAGTTCTCAGTGGTCTGCCGGCACAGCTGGATGTAGAGCTCGTCTCTCAGACCCTGCATGCTCCAGCCTTTGGTGGCGATCTCCAAGGCCACGTTGAGCTGGTCCGTCTTGGCCCGTCGGTCCCCCATGTACATCTGAATCAGTTTAAATATCTCGCACGCCTCTTTCTTGACGTTGCGGTCGTTGGTCATGATCATGGGTTTCTTGATGGACTCGCTGCTCCAGGCCAGCATGTTGGCGATGGACACCTTCCTGCGGAAGAGCCCTTGGGTGTGCTTGTTGAAGTGCTTGGAGGCCCAGTTCTCAATGTCCGTCTCCGAGGAGGGCTTCCGCAGGTTGAAGGTGGGGAAGACACAGCTGGCACTAGGCATCATGTTCCTGGTCTGTCTGCTGCTCTCGAACTGGGCGCAGGCACCGAGATCCTCCGACTAGGTGACAACAGCCAGACAGGGCAATGTTACTAGTGGCGTGACTGCATTGCCAAAGCAAGCAAGTAACTAACCAACCAACCCATCAGTCAAGCAACCAGCCAACCCATCAGCCAACCAGCCAACCGACAAACCAACCAATCAACCAACCAACAAAACCACCCAAGAAAACCAAGCAACCAACCCATGAACAAGCCAACCAACTAACTAACCAACCAATCAACAACAAACCAACCAATCCACCCACAAATAAAACTAAGCAGTCAATCAACCAACCAACAAAACCACCCAAGCAACCAACCAACCAACTAACCAATCAACTAATCAACAAACCAACCAACCAATCAACCAACCAACAAACCAACCAGCCAACCAACCAATCAACTAATCAACAACCAACCAACCAACCAACCAACCAACCAATCAATCAACAAATCAACTAATCAGCCAGCCAGCCACCCACCCAACCACCCAACCCACCAATCAACAAACCAACCAATCAGCCAATAAAACCAAGCAGTCAACCAACCAATCAACTGATCAACAAGCCAACCAACCAACCAACCAATCAACCAACCAACCCACCAACCAACCGGTGTAGCACAGAGGTTGCCCCATGTTCGCACCAAAAGCTACGCCCTCTCCAAGGAGCTGCCCCTCAGTGCCACCACGGGCACGTGGAGCTGGCCCGGTGCCAGCAGCCAAGGCGGGTGACAGCACCGACCGGCATCAGGAGGGAGGGGACCGATGGGGTTAAGTGAAGCTGCACTCCCCCTTCACGCCTGGCACCCCGGTCAGTCGGGCTTTCCAGTCACGGACAGGAGCCGGTGGCTAATAAAAACGTGGGCGAAGCAAAGGGCAAGTGGCTTTGGGCTCCACCAGGCCTTCGGGCACACCGTGGAGGGGACACACTCACCTGTAACCAGCCCCCCCAGATAACCCCCCGCTCCCCAAAGGCACGTTCAAGCACGGTTTCTCCAGTGGCCCCATGCCCAGGAGGACACTGGTGGCTCCTCCAAGCCATGAGTAACATGGGTGGTGTTTCTTTACACCCCGTGTGCAGAGGACACAGGTTGCCGGGATCGACCCTGGCCCAGACGGGGAGGACCTTTCCAGTGTCCTACTACTGGAACCAGCACAGCTGCCGGATATCACCCCAGGAGATGGTGGGACACCCAACCAGGTGATGCCCAGCATGGAGAAACACAAACAAGGACACTTAGGATGGACCACGCCCTGGTCCTGCAACCAACCAATGGTGGTTTCATCGTCTGTCACCTCCCTCTTCTGCAAGTGCAACGTCTGGACCAGCATCACTTGGGTTTGGTGGCCGTGGGGACGTGAGCTGGGGTGGGCAGGAGATGAGCCCTTTCCTCGGCAGGGAAGGACGTGCCACAGCATCCAGAGGTGATGTTGCTGTCCCCACCATCCGCGGGGGAACCGTGTTGGTGGCCCCAAGCAGGGACCAGGTGCAAGGTGACTGCAGTGGTGCCACAGCCTTGGGGCTGGGCTTTCGATGAGGGAAAGAAGAAAAGCAGGAGGCAGAAACAAGGTGGAAAAAGCCAGGGCCACGCTGAGGTGGCAAGTCCATGAGGGAACAAGGAAGCCACCCCAAGAGCCACCAGAGCTGCTGGCAGATGACTGAGCCTCTGCTTCTTCAAACAAGTCAAGGTTCTTGACTCCTCACTCAACAGCTCGTTCCTTCCCAAGGTTGAGGTTTCCTCTCTCCATTGATGTTGCTCGACTCCCATCTTGCACTGTGGTGACAAGGACAAGGAACTGGCCGTGGGGACATGGGAGCTTCACCCCCCCGAGGGACCCAGCCTCACCGTTCCCGTGGAGGCCACATCACCTGAAAGGTTCTTCCTGCTTGGTCAGCTGAAGGCACGTGGGGCTTTCTGGGTGGAAGGAGATGCAGCATTTGCTCCAAGGCTTCTTGCTCCGTAGCTGTGGCTCTTCCAAAAGCTGGGCCACCAGCCGGGCCACCACCACGCTGGTCACCCAGGGCACCCAGAGAGAAGCAAAGGACCACGTTGGTTGTGAGACATCAGCCTCCTCCAGCCAGGCCCACTCCAGCAGACAGCGTGGTCAGGCACCAAAATGGGATGGATCCTCTGCTGATAGTGCCAATATAAAATTAGCTCCAGCCCTAATTAGCACAGTCCTAAACGAACTTGGGGAAAGCCCTGGGCTACAAGGAGAGGCTACACAATTGGGTGTCAACGGCAGCTGGCCATGACTTCCTGACAGGGTGGTGGCAGGGGGCTGCCGCTGCCCGTCCCATGGGGTGACCCTCCTTTTGGCTCGGGGATTAGGGAAAGCTCAAACCCAGAAGAAAACTCAAGAGTGCTGGGGGGTGGTGGGGGGGAAGGAGGTCCTGCTGCCATGTGGGTGGGACTCGGACGCACCCCAGTGTGGGGCCAACTTGGGACACACCGTTGGTGACACTGGGCACGGCCCCATCGCTTGTGTCACCTCGTCACATCTCCTGTGAGCTTCTCTCCTCTGCCAGGTCTCTGCGTTTTCCCACACGTCACCCCCGGCATCATTTTGCTCTGGTTTCTTGCATTTCTGCCATGTTTGCCGTCACGGACAGCGTGATAACCCCGTCGGGGCTGGCCACCGCAAGAGGCTTCCGCTTCAACCCATGTTGAAGGTTCCCCAGCTGATGGGGGCATAGAAAATGGAATTAAACCCAAGTGACAATCTCAGATGTGATCATCAAACGGTTTGGGTTGGGAAGGACCTTCAAAGATCATCCAGTCCAACCCCCCTGCTCCGGGCAGGGCCACCTTCCACCAGCCCAGGTTGCCCAAAGCCCCGTCCAACCTGGCCTTGAACCCTTCCAGGGAGGGGCCAGCCACAGCTTCTCTGGGCAGCCTGGTCCATCCCCTCATCATAAAGAATTTCTTCATTATGTCCTGACTAAACCCACCCTCTTTCAGTCCAAAACCTCTGCCCCTTGTCTGTCACTACAGGCCTTGGTGATCACCATCATCACCAATAAAAGATGAGATTGAATCATCTCCAGGCGCGAACAAATCCCCGTTGGCATCTCCACTAGCTTCTGCCGAGTCCAGCCAGGGGATGGTGTAGGCACGGGGCGAGTTTATAAAGTCACACAGAGAAATAAACACGGTCCCACGGACAACAGGACTCTCAAGGTACCAGGTGAATCCCGCCGGTGAATCCCACCACCGGGAAAAATTCACGAGGAGCAAAGCAGCTGCCAGAAGATCTGCTCTTGCTGGAACGGGTGTCTCTCTGCTTGAGGACAATGTCAGGCAGGAGCAACCAAAGAGTCTGGGCAGCAGAGGAGAGTCCCAGCCCATCCTGAGCTCCACTCACGGTGGCAGTTACTCCTCCCGGCCAACATGAGCAGCCAAAGTGGATTTGGAGCTCTTCAGTTTTGGGTTTGAACCTCCTCGTGCAGCACCTTGTGCTTGGGTGGGGAAAATTCTGCCTTAGAACACCCCACCCCACCGATTTTCTTACACATTTCCATGGGTAAAAAAAGTAGTTTCCAGATTATTTGCTGTTTCTCAGGTCCGTTTCCAGGGTCTCTCTCTTCCTTGTTGATACCACGCTCCCAGTTTTCCAGGTGGGATCGTTCTCACCAGGGTAACTATCCCCATGCACGGTGTCATCATAAATTTTTAAAAAGCCAGTGTAGACTTTCCCAGTGTCCTTACATCAACCCTTAATGCATCCAAAAGCAAATCCAGGGGTCCTCATCCAGCAGCCCATCTCTGGGCTCCTCCGGACACAGGGACACGGGCAGCATCACTGTCCTTGCCCTGAGTGGGGCACTACAGGTCAGAGGGGCAGATTTGGGGTGTCAGATGCTTGAGGGGAAAGGACATGAGAACTAAAAGCCAGAAGCTGCTGCTGGAAAACACCTGATGGGCTGGAAGGTGCACACAGGGGATGAGCCCACGGTGGGCTGTCAGCAGCAGGAGGGCTACACCGCCACAGGAACGGTCTATGGCAGCTCTAGGAGCTCCTCTGGGATAGGAGTTTGGGGCTGAAGGGGTCTCCAGGACTGGAACACCTCAGTCCCAGAGAGGGGACAGGCAGCTCAGAGCCCTGAGAAGCAGATCCTGGAAAGCTGGTGCGCTTGTGGCTGCTTCATGCCAAGGTTTTGGGGGACAACTTGCTAAGGAGCAGCTTCTCTGAGGGACCAGCTTCTTATGGAGCAACTTCTTTGAGGGACCAGCTTTTTAAGGACCAAGTCTGAGGGACCAGCTTGCAAAGGACCAACTTTGAGGGACCAGCTGGCTATTGAACAACTTTTTTGAAGGACCAGCTCCTTAAGGACCAAATTTGAGGGACCAGTTTGCAAAGGACCAACCGGAGACGGACACTTGAGGCTCCTCTGGGAGCTGGGTGGGTGCTCGGGGTCCAGGAGCTGGCTCCCACCAAGGGGCAGCCAGAGTGAGGGAGGAGAAGCAGCGCCTATGAAGGTGTGAGATCACCCTGGGGACCATCCCGCAGGCTCTGCAGTGGAGGCGGGGATTTAAACTGGCTTTACAAGAAGAAATTTTAACCAGGAGGGCGGCGGGGAGGCCCGTGCTGCCACGCAGTGTGGTTCTGCCCAACCTGGCGTGGCATCCGAGGAGATGCCGCGCGGTTGGGCGAGGGCTGGCGGCGCGGGGCACACGGTGAGGCCCCACCACGCCGAGGACACCCCCGAGGACGTTACCTGAGATGGATGCAGGTAGGGCTCGGGGGAGGCCAGGTTGGTCTGCACGGAGACGCTCTTCTCCAGCAGGATCTGGGGGAAGCCCAGCTTCTCGAAGGTGTTCCTCTTCCAGTGCTTGTTGTCCTGCTGCGCCAAGGCCTCGTCCTCGCTGAAGGCTCGCACCACCGGACCCGGCATGGGCAAAGGGAGGGCGCCGTCACTCTCGTAGCCCGAACCGTCCTTTTGGGAATCCCAACTGCTCCGTTGTTTCATGTGGTAGTGGGCTTGCTGGGCTTCCCAAGCCAGGCGTGCCTGTGCCAGGAAGGGCTCGGGGAAGCCCCGTGCCGCCTCCGCCTCCGCCGCCTTGCTCTCCGTACGGTTCATCGGTGACCTGTTGGGTCCCGGGGTGGCTCGTTCCTCCCCCAGCATCTGCTCGCCCAACACCTCCCGGTCCCCTGAGCCATCCGTGGAGGAGGCGTTGGGGTCGTGGGATAGGGAAGGCTTTCGGCTTTTCCTCTTTCTGGTGGAGGGTGAGTAGCCGGTGGAGGACAAGGTGTCCTGTTGGCTGGACCATGACATGGAGTCCTCACCCTGGGCCACCTGGCCACTGGTTGGGCCAGGGCAGAAGTCGGGTCCTTCCATGCTGCTGTAGTCACCTGATTTGATCTCTAAACGTTGGTCCCGGACCAGGCAGGGGCTGTGCTGCAGCGAGTAGGAGCCGCCGATGGGGTTGGGGGAATATTTGTGCCTCAACCCCGTTTTCATCTTGGGGCTGGAGCCCGACTGCTCGACGTAGACCAGTTGCCTGACGTACTCCTTGCCGGCTGGGCTGTACTCCAGGCTCATGAACCGGTCAGGACACTTCTGTTTGGTGAGCACCAACTGCTGGTAGGGCGAGTTGGAGCCTTGTTTGGGCGACTGCAGGAAGGGGTGAGGTTTACGGATGGGTGATTTCTGTGGCGAGCCGGCTTTGTAGCTCCCGCTGGCTTCATACTGCATGTCCACGGGGGGCTCATCATAGATGGGAGCCTGGTACTCCATGGGGGGTTCCTCATAGAGCGGGGGCTCGTAGGCGTAGCGGGGCGAGGAGGGTTGTGACTCGCTGGAGTGCTTGCGGTGCTGGGCTTGGAGCGGGGAGCAGAAGGAGTCCCCCCGGCCGAGCAGCGGTGAGCAGCTGCCCACGTGCTCAGCCCTCTTCAAGAAGGGCGACTGCTTCCTCTCCGGGAAGAAAACAGAGTTGTCAGTGTCGGGGGCGAAGGTTTGTAAGTTGGGCGACTGTTGGCCCCCCGAAGGTCGCCGCGAACGGGTGCCCGGTTGGTTTTCAGGCGCGTAGCCGTTGCCTTGGTGCATGAGGAAGCTGGGCTCGCGGTCGGTCACCTTGATCAGCATCCGCTCCTTGGTGCCCGCGTTCCATCGCAGGGACGACGTCCTGCGGGGAGAAACACAGCGCCGCCATCAGCGAGCGAAGCCCCCCAGTGTCCACAGGGGGACAGGTGCCCCCGTACTGCTGCCCCCGTGACCCCCCCAGACCCTCGGCTGCAGCAGAGCCCGAAGGATGGACATGCCCAAGCCTCTCCCATCAGGTGAAGAGCACGGTGGTGATGGAGGCACCAGGGCATTGCCACTGGCCCAAACGCAGTGGCACCGGCCCGCAGCCCTCCCTGGCTCCCACAGACCCCAGCAACCCCCAGGGTGCATGAGGGATGCGTAGGCTCTAAAGCCAGGCCCCCAAAAGTGAGGACACCCCTTGGAGCACGTCTCTAGGGGACAGCCCTGAGTCAGCCCTCCCTACTTGGGTCTTGGTGCTTCTTGGAGCCAAACGGCGATGGAGGAGTGAGCACGGCCACCCGCTGGGGACAAGCCTTGGGGCAGACGTACATTGGGTGACAGTTTCATGGGTGTTTGGGAGCTCAGGCCTTGCAGGGAATGGGGGCTCACACCACCACCGACCCCACCCAGGACCGGCCCCTTGCTGGGATCTTCTATCCCAAGGCGAGAAGGAGAAGCTGCCTACGCACAGCCCCATCTTTCCCACCTCTTCTTGCTTTTCATTCCTCGCAGCACCAGGCTTAACCCAGCTCACCCCCTCCAACCAGCCCCCTGTCTGGGATTAACACCCTCCTCCAGATCCCAGCTGGAGCTGGGTTATCACAGAACCACAGAATCCTTCAGGTCGGAAAAGCCCCTCGGGGTCAGCGAGTCCAACCCTCAGCCCGACTCTACACAGTTCTCCCCTACCCCACATCCTCCACAGCTCATCCCAACGGCCCTGAAACCCCCCCAGGGATGGGGACTCCCCCCTCCCTGGGCAGCCTGTTCCACTCTCGGACCATTCTTGCTGGGAAACATTTTCTCCTCCTGCCCAGCCTGACCCTCCCCTGGGGCAGTTTCCAGCCGTTCCCTCTTGTCCTGTCCCTGATCCCCTGGGAGCAGAGCCCAGCCCCAGCCTCTCTGCAATGTCCTGTCAGGAGCTGCAGAGAGGGATGAGGGCTCCCCTCAGCCTCCTCCTCCTCACACTGAACACTCCCAGCTCCTTCCCTGACTCCTCACAGGATTGATTCTCCAGCCCTTCCCCAGCCTCGTTACCCTCCTCTGCCCTCGCTCCAGCCCCTCCAGATCTCTCTGGGATTGAGGTGCCCAAACCTGGACACAACCCTCCAGGTGTGGCCTCCCCAGTGCCGAGCACAGTGGGAGATATTTTGTTAAAACCAGGAAAAAATAATAATTATCAAAAGAAATGAAAACAAACACCTTGAAAATGCAACCCTGACCTGTGCAGAGATGTCCCAGCCCCACGAAACGTGAACCTCCATGGCCTTGTACCCCAAACTTCTTCTGGCAGCACCTGTACACCGGGACAGGGAGGGGAGGGGCAGCTTAGCCTAAATCCACACGCCGCGTGGACATCTCGGTCTCCAAAGGGACGGGGCACAAGCCCTGCAAGAGGTGAGAGCAGCATCTGCCCTCTGTCCCCTTCATCACCAAAAAAGCCCAGCCCTGGGTGGGATGAGCATCTCAGCACGGCTGTGAGGATGTGCACGATGGCCACAGAGAGGCAAGTGGGAGCTGGGGCGGTGCTGGTGGATGTCCATGGCTTCCTTTTCTTGATGCTCAAGTTCACTGCATCCCTCAGCCACTTCGCATCCCGTGCGATGATGCCCTGCATGCTTCCACCGAACGTCTTTCAATGCGGAGCATCCGACAGCTTCTTGCTGTCGCGTGACTTGCAGATTGTTACCTGCACACCCTGAACCTGCACGGCATCAGGTGGGGAACTGACTGTTGGAGCCTGGTTTTGTACATCCAAGGTGCACGTGTGACCAAACGCCAATGGGGACCTTCTTAATTCTGAGATGTGAGTAATCATCCCCAAACTGCCACCCAACGGGCACCTTCTGTGGTCCTGGTGTGAGCAGGGGTGAAAGCTCAGTTGGGCGACGTGCCAAGGGGACCAGGAGCTCATCTGAGCCAGGCTTAGCAGAGACCAACTCATCCACAAGTGAAAAAAGTCTGGACCCTTCAACCAGAGCTGGGAGGAGACGTCCTTCACCTCCACTTGAAGTCCATTTTCTCGTTAAGGCATTTGACGGTCCTGGTGGGTGACATCTCCTCCAAACGATAACGTGTCCCGCAAAGCTGGGCCTCCCCTCACCGCTGCTCCAGCAGCACGTCTGCAGGCTCTCAGTTTCAACCCTAATTGCAATTTGCAATGAATCAAAAAAGTTTTTTTTTTTTCCTCTTTATTAATAATTAATGGGCAGAAATAATTATAATTTCAGGATTGTCTCAGCTCTGCAAGATTGGGTTGCAGGGGGTTGTGCAACCTGGGCAAGACTGGCTGGGCTGCACCTGGGCTTCTCCTCAGGGCTGCTCAGTGTCCTGGGATCAGCAAGAAAGCCCAAGGGGTGGGGAGCAACTCAACCCTTCTCAAATGAAACCACCTCTCCTGAGGCAGCTCCAAGCTGTCAGATCATCCGCCATGGAAAAACCGCCCCTCTACGGGAGGGTGGACATCAAGGCTCGGGCCAACTCACGACCTCAAGTTACCACCTCCTCACAAAGTACCAAATACTCAGAGGAGCAAAACTTCAACCAAGCTTGACCTTCAGCCTTAGACATGTCTACACTGCTCCAGCCTCAAAGGCAGCTATCACTTCGTTTGGGACGTTGCCCAACACCTTGCCAGGGTGCTGCTGTCAGACGGGGAGTAGGAGAAAATAATTTCATAACATCACCATAAATTTGGGCAAGAGCCAGGAAACAAGTCTCCCAGCAGTAGGTTGTGATGTTGGAGCTGGACAGAGATGCCTCCATGCAGGCACACCAGGGATGTGGTTTGCACCTTGTTCTCCCCGAAACGTTGGGTGACCTTTGGGGATCAACCTTTCTCCTGTGCTCCACGGAGCCCGTTGGTGGGAAATGTGCCTGTTGGGAAGGGCAGGAGCTGGACACCACCTTGTCACCCGGCTCAGGTTCATTCTCCAGGGCTGTCTCAACTCACGGCATCTCCAGTGAGGACACTGTGGCCCAAGAGCTGCCTCATGCTTCTGCTCCCGTCCACCTGAAGCAGTTGACAGCACGAGACTCTGAGTTACTGCCAACTCCATACTGGACCTCTTGAGCCTGGTGACCCACAGCTTTCATCACTCACAGGTCACTGGAGCCTCTTCTCACGATGAAATCCCAGAGATGAGGGAAGTCGATGCCCAGCAGAAGGGCCTTTCCATCCTTTTTGGCAGCACACACCATCTCCAGACACCCCCCACTGCCAGCACAGCTCTCAGAGGTCACGCTGAACAACCCACAAGCCTTGGCTCCCGTTTGGGTGCCAAAACACCCCATCTGACATCTTGCCCAACGCACACTTCTCACCACCCACCACTCTCAGCAGATCTCATGGATCCTGAGAGCTGGAGGCAGCTCTCCTTATGCCAAGTTACCACGTTAAAAAGAATTAAACCTTCTCTCCTGCTTTCATGGAAGCATGTCTACAGTGACTTGCTTCATAAAGCTGTGCAGGAGGGCTGCAGCCTCGAGCAGATCCAAAACACCTTCCTTCCCAACATCTGAGCCCTGGGCTCGGCAATGGTGAGGGGGTTCAGCTTTGGGCCCCTCACCCCAAAAAGGCCATTGAATGACTCGAGCGTGGCCAGAGAAGGGCAACGGAGCTGGGGCAGGGTCTGGAGCACAGGTCTGCTGGGGAGCGGCTGGGGGAACTGGGGGGGTTCAGTCTGGAGAAGAGGAGGCTGAGGGGAGACCTCCTGGCCCTCGGCAAGTCCCTGCCAGGAGGGGGCAGAGAGGGGGGATGAGTCTCTGGAGCCAAGGCCCCAGCGCCAGGCCCCGAGGGAATGGCCTCAAGCTGCCCAGGGCAGGGTCAGGCTGGCTCTGAGGAAGGATTTCTGTGCAGAAGGGGCTGTTGGGCGTTGGAATGGGCTGCCCAGGGCAGGGGGGGAGTCCCCGGGATCCCTGGAGGGGTTGAAGAGTCGGGCTGAGCCAGCGCTGAGGGGTCTGGGGGAGTTGGGAACGGTCAGGGGGAGGGTCAGGGTTGGGCTGGAGGAGTTCAAGGGCTTTTCCAGAGATGATTCTGGGATTCTGTGTGATTCTGTGAGATCTTCTGTATCATGTCCTGAAGGTTGAAGATGGCTCCTTGTTTCTTCTGGAAGGCAGCAGAACCACCAGCTCCAGTCAGCTCACACTGCCTTCCCCACTTCTACCTGCTTAAGACCATACTTTGATTTCCCTCTTTGTTACTCCAGTTCTCTCCAGTCTTTTCCACCTCGTCCAAAAGCTTGCACGGACACTGGGTGGGGGGGTTCTGCAAGAAGAGGCTCTTCTACCCCTGCATGCCCTGGTGCAGTGGGGTGGCACACAGATCACCCCAAGTAACAGGGTTTTCATCTGCTCAATCCACATTTTAAACCCTTGGGAGATGCCATCCAGGCAGGGGACACTTGGGAGGGAGAGCAGAGGTGGGTTCTTTTGGAGGTGCCGAAAGCATCGCCCGTGTCACAGGAGGGATCTGAGCTGGCACTTGCTGCTGTCTCCACAGCACGGGGAAGCACATCTTGTTATCAATTCCTCGCCGAGTCCCACGCTGGCACACAAGATACCGGAGGCACCATCTGCTCTCCCAGTTCATTCCTCTCTCATTCTCAGTTATTTTTTTCACAGCCACTTGTCCTTTCTGTCCTCCAGAAAAAGGTGGAGCCAGTCCAATTAAGGAGTTTTACAGAAAAATGCCCACAAAGAGGCACATATAAATATCTCCCTGCATGAGGTTCCGTCACCTCCCAGTATCCTGCTTGTTGCTTGCCCATGACTTTGTCCTCACTCCAGGGGATGTGAGGAACAATTTCTTCTTTCCCTTTCTGTAGCAGCCTTTTGAGCTCCTGAGGACTTGAACCTCCTGCCAGCTTCTTGCTGCCGAAG